CCCTAAAGACATAGGAGGAGAGGGGAAGGAGAGAGGAGAAAAGGGGGTGGATAAAGTAAGACATCAATACATGAAGAAAAGGCAAGGACTATACAATCTTATCTTATTATCAAAACTAGTTGTATGATATCATATCTACTCAAATGTCTTTGCCAGCCCTTTTCCCTTTCTTTCTCACCCTTCCACCCAACTACACTTACATGTACACCACCCTCTTTTATCCTCTCTTATCCACCCTCCCTCCCACCCTCCCTCCCTCCCTCCCTCACTCTCTCTTACTTGTTTTCTAATTCCTTTAATAGCAAGTAAGTCTCTCTGACAGGTGTCTGCCATGTTCTTGTATTGAGAGGCAGCTCCAAGGTTACCTAGTTTCTCGTAGACCTTAGCATTCTCTGAGCAAATGTCTTTCTGTTCTTCAAGTTGTTTCTCTATCAAATCAAACGTGTCCTCATCTCCTTCTTTGGCTTTCTCCAAGTGAGAGAGTACACCTTTACTGGCTGTTGCTTTACTTGGATCAGAATAAGGAGAGGGAGGGACCTACACATATACACATGAAAGGGCATAATAATAAAATAAAGGTCAAAGATATAAAATTGTGTACAATTCATATAAATTACAATACACTGTCTCAATAGCATATACAATATAGTGTACATATAACTCACTTGTGTCATATCAACAGGGTATCCACTCTCAGCAGCTGCTATCATTGGTTCAATACCTTTATAGTACCTAAGATAACCCAGTGCCTTTTCTTTATCTCCCTTAGCCTTTGCCTCTCTTGCTGCTCTTTGAAACTCGGCTCCTCTTTGCTTCAAAGCTCTAATCTGTCCCTCATTCACTGATAGCTTCACTCTACCCCCAGCACCTGAAGGCTGACTCACTCTAGAAGGAGGTAAGGATTGAGCTGGACGAGACTGAGCTCTAGGGGCAGAGGGTATGGGAGGGTAACCAGGTGGGGCAGGGAGCTCCTCAAAATTAACAAACTTCCCAGCCTTAGTGTCTCTGATGGCTTCCTCGTATTGTTTGATGATCCTTCCTAGTCTACGGACTCTTGAGGACTCTCCTTTATCTGATGCTAATTTCAATCCCTCCTTGTATTTATCTAGTCTTTGCTGGAGTCCTTCTAATGGAGTCTTTGGAACAGGAATACCAGGATCACTATCACCCTCTCCTCCTCCTCCTTGGGCTGATTGAGGGGCTGTACCCATGGCTGCTGGTGCTGGTGTGGCTGATTTGTATTTAGATATGTCATAGTTATAGTTAGAAGTAAAGCCGGGGGGAGGAGGGGGAGTACCAGATAGATCAATGGGCTGTCCTTGTTCGATACTCTTTATGGCTTTATCAAACTGAATAGCAACTGATCCGTATTGTTTGGTACCACTAGCGTCTCCTTTAGCTTTAGCTGATCGCACTGCTGTCATGTACTGATCCTTTCTCTCCCTTAGTACCAGTAATACTTGTTCTTTGGTGACAGGTCCACCCATACCAACAGGACGAACCATCTTTGTCGGTAAACTCTGAGTTGTTTCTCTAGGAGGCGTGACTACTGGGGGTGTGGCTGCTGAAGTAGCAGTGGGCGGAGTTTTTTGGACATTCTTTGACATGTCAAGTTGTGAGGCGAGCAGTTCCATGTCTTCTTCACTCAAATCAAACTCTGCAAATTCCGGAGTATCTAAATCAATTAGTCCAGGTGGGCGGGATGAAGCAGGCATGGTTTGAGGTTTTGGAGCTGGTGGGGGCGGAGCCTGAGGCTTTGGTTTCATTGGAACTGATTGGACCTTTGGAGGCGTGGCTTGAATGGGCGGAGGCCGAGTAGGTGTGGTCACAGGCTTATTCTGTTCTGGAAGACTAGCCATCATGGCCGCCATGTCTTCCTCTGATAAATTAAACTCGTCAAATTCAGGATCATCCAAATCAATCAAGTTGCCGGTTTGAGCGGGTGTGGTCTTTGAAACAGGTTTACTGCTAGTGGGTGTGGTCTGGTTCACCGGTACATTGATGACAGGTGGTATGGTCTCCATGTCAACATGGCGGCCACTTTTAGCATCTTTTTGAAGAGACGTCAAGGTTTCTACAGAGCGCTTGTACCTCCTTATTTTGCTTGAGTCTCCTGCAGTCTCGGCTGCCTTGAGTCCTTCCTGATACATCTTGAGTCTCTCTGATATCAGTGATATATCAGCAGAAGGTGTGGCCTTGGGGGCAGCTACCTCAGCTAGGGGGAAAATAATTATGAAAATAAAAGTAGATATAGTGATGTTTGTAATACTATTCAAGTGCAAAATAAATACAAATACTTTCACTATGGAAAATTAAGTGCATCATTATTTAAGGAAGACCAAAAAATTAAATCTAACTAGGCGAATGTAAAACATTAAGGGGCGAGCAAAATGATTAACATTTCGATTAGCAATATACAATGTCTATATAGACAATGATGTAGTGGCTATTAAACCTTGAATGTTGACTGATGTGAATATGATATCAATACACTAATGCAGAATTTGCATGGAAGGAATTTCATAGCTTCTAGCTTTGAGTGAAGAATCTCTGCAGTTATATAGATCTAGGATGGAAGATAGTTGGTCTCAGAAGCCAGAAGGAGACTCCATTTGTTGTCTTTGGGTGCGAAAAGACCTATCTCTAGCATTTCTATTGGACCTCCTCGCTCTTTTCTCCTCCTCAGTCTTGCTCCTTCTTAGCTCATTACAAAGAAGTCGACGAGCATCACAAGCATTTTCTTGTGAATTACTCATGCTTTAAGCTTCAGCTTCTCTTGTTTTTTGAATACTCTTGAACTCCTCTCGTCCAGTGATTACTGAAGTTGCTCTTTGTTTTTGCACGTGGTACCGTAATTATCAAAATTATCATTTTAAAATGTGTGATTATTTTTTATAGACGCATAAATAGGAGTGACGTACGTGTACAAACAAACAAACAGACATACTCGACTCGACTATGTGGGGCTCGCTTTTGCTCGCCCCAATAAATTTTGCAATCGTGTACCAATATTATATTATAGAGTGACTCAAGGTGGGCATTAAATAGAGCATCAAATATCCCTACCTTTTCCTTTATCAGTGGAGATGCCAGCCCATTCCGCCAACTCAGCAAACTCGTCATCATCAACCTTTTCTGTTTGGGGTTTTCCCTTTGAAGCCAAACTACCACTCCCACTAGCTCCCCCTCCTCCTCCTCCACCCGACGGTACAAAAACCTCAGGAGGTAGTTCCTCCATGTTGACCCTCTTCCCTGCCTTCAGGTCCTTCACCATTTCATTCATTGAGCCAATGGCTCTCTCATACCGTCTCACTTTACTAGTCTCTCCTTTAGCTTTAGCAGCAGCAGAGGCTGATCTATAAGCACTCAACCTCTCGTTGACTATCTGTAAGTTATTTGATGAACCTAAGCAGAGAAAGAAAAAGAGAGAGAATGATATTTGGCTATAAATATTATTTATTATTTACTAGTTTTTCCAGCTGGTTTGACAGGAGCAGGAGGAGTAGGTTTCTGTCTAACAGGAGGCCTTTCTACTGTAATCTCCATGGAATCATCAGCACCTTCATCATCATCATCTTCCATTCCTTCCTATTAAACGGAAAAAAATATGTAATAGTATTTTAAATACCATCAAATACAACACACAATGCAATTTACATTTTCTGATACACATTTGAAGTTCTGTTGCACACTAAATGTGTACAAACTTTGAGCTGATTCCAATCAAAACTGGATTTTTAATGAATTTTCAAACTTGCTCCAAAATCTGGCCAAAACCCTGTACTATAGTGCAGGGTCATTGGCCAAATTTCGGCAAAAACGACTAGGAGAGATTTCCTCAGTTTTATTACATTTTCTGATGCATATACATGTACTTAAGTTGTATATCAAGTTTGAGTTGATTTCAATCAAAACTGGATTTTTTTTACAAATTTTAAAGTTGCTAAAAATTGGGCCAAAGTCCCTGTACTGTAGTACAGGGATCTTAGCCAAATTTTGCCAAAAATGAAAAGGAGAAAATTTTCCACTTTTATAATTTTTTTCTGATACATATACATGTATTTATGTTGTGTATCAAGTTTGAGCTGATTCCAATCAAAACTAGATTTGTTATGAATTTTCAAAGTTGCTTAAAAATCGGGCGAAAGACCCTGTACTATAGTACAGGGTCGTTGGCCAAATTTCACCAAAAATGGCTAGGAAAGAATTTCTAATTTTTATTACATTTTCTGATGCATATACATGTATTTATGTTGTGTAGAAAGTTTGAGCTGATTCCAATCAAAACTAGATTTGTTATGAATTTTCAAAGTTGCTTTAAAATCGGGTGAAAGACCCTGTACTATAGTACAGGGTCGTTGGCCAAATTTCACCAAAAATGACTAAGAAAGAATTTCTAATTTTTATTACATTTTCTGATGCATATACATGTACTTATGTTGTGTAGAAAGTTTGAGCTGATTCCAATAGAGTTTGAATTTTTTATCAATAGTTTCTAATGCTCAAAAATTAAGCCAAAGATCATGTACTACATGTGTACATGTATAATGATAGTATAGGGTCATTGGCCTAATTTCTACACAAGAGCCCAGCAGTATCTTCTACTAGTACAATGTGTGCATATAATAATAATCAACCCACCAGTTCAGCTAATAGATCAGCATCGTCAACATCCATATCATCATCTTCATCATCATCACCCTCTCCAGTCTCCTCTCCCAGTTTGTGAGCTGATGACAGCATCTTATCAATATCAGCTAACGAGGCTCCTCCTCCTCCACTGCTGCTTCCTTTCTTTTTGCCCTTACTCACTCCACCACCTGTCATGGCTAGTAATTCCGCCTCTAAATCCTCATCATTGAACTCTAGTATAAACATAATGGGAGGAGAAAGAGGAGGGGTATTGGATAAAGTGAGGTTCTCTTTTACTGTCTTCTCTAACCTGGCATCCCTCCAACGCCAAGAAACGAGGCCAGTCCCCCGCCACCCTTTGGTTTCTCTCCTCTATCTTTCTTCTTATCCTTCCTACCAGGCATTTTGCTCGAGATTTTGCTCTATTTCTTGTATCAGGCTCTCAAGTTATGCACCATAAGTCACGTGACTTGGTACAGCCACGCCTCCATATGCTCCCGCCTCCAAAAACAATTTTAAATTCATTTTAAAGAAAGACTCAATGATAATAATAATTTTTTATCATTAAAAATAAAATAATATTATTATCATAAACTACATGATGACCTAGACAAATCTACTATTAGTCTAAGCAGAAACTACAGTGTTCAGCATGAGATTTAGCATGACAAGACTTAATGCCTTAATACTTTCATTTCCGTAATCCTCAAAGAGTAATTGATACCCCTCCAGCTACTCCAATTGACTCCATTTCCATTTGAAGGATGATGGCCAGCCAAATACAAGCCATTTAGATTTGAGTTATGGCAGGAAGAATACCACCATGCTCCTCGAGATGCAAAAGCACAATTGACGGTTTGACTATCATCATTGTCTTGATCACGAGTGGTGAATCTCTTACCATTGTGCTGAGTCAAGCTATCTCCAGCATTGCCAATGTAATAACCTGATACTTTTAATGAATACTTCTCATCTGCACCTTTCAAACTAAATTTAGAATAGACCGCATGAGTTTTTACTCCTGCGAAATCTTCCATGTAAATACGTAGGCTAGTGTTGAAGCTTTTGGTGAGACGGTGTATTTTATCGAGTCCCAGCCAGAACTCTCCCCTGAGGTCTCCAAAACCTTTCAAGTAATTGGCCCAATCTTGATAGAAGTTGACTGTACCATCCATTCTCCTTTGAAAGACAGTATACCCAACACCCAAGCTCATATCACAGTAAACCTGCATAATACATAATAATCATTAGAGATGGTTGTATGTATATACCTCAAAAGCAGGTAAATGATCAGGTTTTATGGTGTAAACACCACTACAGTTTTGACCATTTTCGTGCAACTCCTTGCAATCTTTTGCAATTGTGTTATTACAACCTATTATGAATAAAATAACATGAAATATGAAGTTAAATCTTGCATATAGCTACTTTTAGCAGAAGCAAAGATCCCAAATATGCAAAGCAGCAGGAACAAAGACTTCATTTTCCTTTGTAGATGATAATACAGTCAAATTTCTTTATGATACTGACGTGATTGTTGCTTTCTTAGCTTTCTACTTTTATACTGAGACATGTTTGTTTATAATACTGAAAGTATGAAGCATAACTAATTACATAATGGTGTTCATGAGCTTGTCCCGATGTCCATGTTTATGCTTTAATGTCACCTTCAGTATGAGAATTTTTTGGTTAACTCATGATCAAAGTATCTTGGCTCCTGTTTTGATTTCAGTAATGCAATCATATGCTCAAAATTTTCTGGCTTGAGCTTGTGTAATGTTTTAATAATTCCGTAACAGCCATAGGTGTAGAAGTGTAATTGGATGTTGTTGCTAATGCAAACCTTGCAAATGTAATGTTATTCACGTATTTTTGTGACAAACAAGCAAGCAGCACTATGAATGCTGAAGCAAATCAATGGCACAGACAACTAATTTCATTCACTCATACACTGAAACCAAGAGCCCATTTTAAATTGATCTAATGAGTGACTTACTGCAAAATGCCATGAAGTCACATAATCTTCAACTTTTGTAAGGAAATTAGTTCTTGTGCCATATATAAACTAAGCTGCTGCTAATGCAAATATAACATCAGATTAGGAACTTTTATTAAAAAGTAAAGAAAACAAGAAATTCAGTCACTCTCTCTGTTTGACCTTATCATAATAAATATATATATTTGCAACAGAAAAGGATTAAAAACAATAATCAAGTGTTCATTTAGCTGAAGGAAAAGTGAAAGGAGGAGGAAGAGGCTGTCTGACCAAAGGCTGCAACTCTTCAGGTAAATGATCTACAGCTCCTACTTGACGACAAATACTCTCAGCTTTCTCTAACAACTCTTCTAATTGAAGATTCTTTGACAGACCATTTATATGCTAAAAATTAAATAATAATAGTAAACTTCATCTCTTTTCCTCCCTCCCTCTCTGACTAACAGCAATAATGTCACTGAAGTCAAATTTAGGATCCATCATGTTATTCCTTTCTTTCTCAATGATAGCAAGTGCAAAGAACAACGGATAATCAGGTGACAAATGAAGTGTCCAAAAAACCTATTAATAAATGGTAATTAATGACTACTACACACACTATATTAGACAGACCTCCCATAAGATCATGAGATCTGAGAACTGGAATTCTCTTTTGAAATCAACGAGAAGCCATCGAAATGAGAGATACAGGTTGTTGGAGTCTTTCTCTCCTTATTATTATAACAAAGCTCAGTCTCATTTTTAGTATAAAATTCTACTTACCCAAATACTTGTAGAATTCAGGATCAGATACCTTAAGCAACGTTCGTAGTTGCTTGATACGCAATCTCATGAATTCTTGTGTGATCTCAAATCGGTCATGTATCATGTCCATCAGTCCAACGAAACACCAAAAGGAATCAACCTCATTCTCCATAATGGCTAATATCACTGAGAGGAGGTCACTCATTCCTTGTACATAACCTGAACAACATAAGAAATAAGATCAAAAGAACACCAGTAGTACTTATGTAGGTACTACGTAGGTACATGTACATGCACAAGTACATTTTATTCATTCAAACTCTATTATTTCACTAACATTTTTCTTTTCCCTCCCTCCCAATACAAGCAAATTTTACATGGGGTCTTTACCAAGGTCCATGTTGTACATTATATAAGTTTTCAAAATGTTCTGCAGCTGCTTCAACTGCGGACTACTGACACTGTGAAACAACTCCACATCACGATCAGTACGAATAACATCTTTTTCTGCATAGAATTAAAGTGCAATTTAACAACATAAAATTATTTTTCTTTGTCTTACCAACAAGGTTTCTAAGTTCTCTCCAGCGAGCAAAGTTAGCTTCCTGCTGAGGAAGGAACGACTCCCATTGCTTCTTCATTATTTCATATTCTCTTTCTTTTGCCTTCTGTTCCTCCATCCTCTCAATATCGGTTGCACCAAATCTGAAATATCCCAACAAATACTTCCATACCTCACGTCTTATTGAATGATCAATACTCTGAGAGAGAAAAATGAGAGAAAAAAGAAAAAGGGATAATTTTGATGGTGTATGTACATGTACAACTACATATATGCAAGGAATAAATTAAGAGAGAGAGAGAGGGGAGACTGACTCCAGCAAATACTCTTGCACGAAACTTCTCTTCATTTTCTTTAGAGACGCGTCCATCAATCTCTCTATAGCTCTCCCATTCTTCCCGAGATAACGGAGGTAGGCGTGGCCTCGGGGGAAGACGAGGAGGTAGCTGACCCTAAAAATTCATTAACAATAATATCAAGAATGATAAAAATAAGGATAGTACATTACCTGTAAATTTGTGACGATTTGAAAATCTGATATAAGAGACTGCTCAGGTGTAGCAACATCAGGTTTACTCTTTGCAATGTTACCTCCTGTCTCAATGTCCTTACAAGTGATGGTTGATATCTCTTCCTCTTCATCGTTGGTCTCCACTGGTCTCCTCTCCAGTAACTGCTCACTGTCTGGTGGTAGGAATGTGTTTCGGACTATCTTACCAAGATCTTGTACAAGAGCCCTTGGGAATGAACTCTGTATGTGTGTGTGCGTGCACAATAGTTAATGATTGAATCATAATCTTTGCTCTCTATTTTTTATCTCTCTTTCTTTTTCTTCGTCTTCCATACAATACTCTCTCCCTCTCTCTCTTCCCTTACTCCTCTTCCACTGAGAGTGATATGGTAAGGTAGGTGTGGTTTATGGCCAGAAGGGGGTGGGGTTTTCTTTCGGCTCATCTCAACGACAGGATTCTTCTCAACACGAATAATTCTATTATCTTTACCATCCCTAAAATAATAAAATTAGAAACAAAATGTCAGCATAAAACAAATTAACAAAATGTTTTTTCATTTTTCAAGTTGCTCAAAATAATAGAGTACATGTACAATTCATAAAAAAACAGCTAGGATAAAATTCTCAATTTTAATGATACATACACATATACATGTTTTTAAGTTATCATTACGGTATCTTGATTATGCTATTCACAATAAATATGGAGAAAAAACAAACATTCAGGGAAACATCCAAAAATCCCATACATACCTCACTAAGTATAGGAACCGTTGCATTGATTGCAGGAGTCCTGCTGTTCCTCCATCATGAAATGAAAGTGTTGGCAGTTCCTTCCCATCTTTTAGGAAGAAGGTGAGTCTGGTACCCTCACGTCTGTTGGTCTCACGGACCATTTTCAATTGAGAGAGACTGAAACTAACTGGACTTGTTTTAGATGATGCAATCACAGGAGAAGAGCCTACAGCAATAAATAATACAGTGCAGTGCAACTTCTCTTAACAATAAACACTCTCTATAGTGGGCACCTCTACTGGTGTAGCAATAAAAGACCAGGGTTTCCCATAGGATTTTGTTACAATACTAAAAATCTCTGGACATACTGTATAGGGGCTTTATTTTGTTGGTATAAAATTTTGCGAATTTGTCCAGATTTGCCTTTTGTTGGTACAAATTTTCGCGAATCTACCTTCTGCAGCCATTTTTCCTAGTGTGCCACACCTCTTTTGTGGAATTTAATTTCGCAAATTTAATGAAAAAGCGAAATTCGTGAAATTTATTTCCAGTGAAATATAACCCCTATACGGTAGTACAGGGTCTTCAGCCAAATTTCAACAAAAATGGTTAGGAGAGATTTCTCCATTTTCTGATGCGTATACATGTACTTATATTGCATAGAAAGTTTGACCTGATTCTGATCAAATTGAATTTTAAAAGTACATGTACACAATGGACTGTATTGTAGTGCTTGTAAGTTCATGAAGCATCCTGTTTAGCTCACTTAACATGCTTTGTGGGAAACCCTGCCAAAGGACACCTAAGGCAAATCTTACATGTATATGCTGTATAGGGTCCACTATACTATGTAGTACAGTATATGCATATGCAGTACAACACATTCACATACAAGTACATGCACATACAAGGACAATATTCATATCACATTGTGATCTTCTCATATCATACCTCCTTTGGCTCCTCCTACTTTCTGTTCTCCCTCATTCCCGACCTTATACCTGACAGAAGGACTCCCTTTACTACCACCATTTTTATTGTTCCTAGTAGGAGAAGTAGCAGTTGCAGCTGTGGGTAGAATAGGATCAGGTGGTTTGAGATCAAGCTTAGGATAGATACTGGGATAAGTGCATTCATGTTCATCAACAATAACTGGAACCTCATCTAAAAAAAAGAAATATAAACTTGTAATTAAACAAGCGTATTAGTGTAAAAATATTCCTATAATTGTTTTCACCACCTTGCAAGTACAACTAGGTTCTTATTAAGACTTATAAAGGTTCTCTCTACCTTCTAATGCTTCTAGAGAAGTCTTTAGACAGTATCTCTATGTTCTTTCGCTGTTAGAAAGCTCATAACTTTGTCCCATGTGCAAGCCGCCATCTTGTTTGCCGTGACCACACCCACTTACGTAGCGTGGGCGGGTGGTTGCTAAGGCATGTTATTTCTCCAATACAACATGTATAGAAGAAATGTAAGTGTTGACATACAAATATATATATATCGCACGTGGGTGAAATCAATTATAGGAACGACCTGGGGGCTTCGCCCCCAGGTCGTAAAAATACAAATGTACTTTTGATAAAAATAAGAAACTAAAACTAGATTAGATTTTTTTTAAATTAGAAATATGATTGTGAATAGAAATCCCATTCAATAAAGTGCCATTTAAATCATGCCACACTGAAGGACAACTTGCTAACAAAGCAACACAACTGGTGCAATATGTACAATGTTATCATGTGATAATGTGCACGTCACTTGACTTACACGGCTCGTCTATGATTGTCCAGCCATCAGACTCAGAGGAGAAGAGACAGGCGACATCTTGATAGCTTAATTCCAGAGGATCCCACACCAGTAAATTATCTGATTCCTGGATAGAGAAGATTACATGTATATGCACATTACAAAAAACAGTGACAATAGTGCATTTAGTAGAATAAACAGGAAAAAGAAAGCAAACAAAAAACCAATTATGCATGAACATTTACATGTACATGTATATACATACATGTACCTTTTTCACAATCCTAACAAATCCATTAATCTTCAGTTCAAACCCGGTAGCTGACAGCTCTGCTGGTATGTATATAAACACATTCTTTACTTCGTGGACTATGTCTTTGGCCGGGTAAGGGGCTACTGGCTCCACATTCACATTGGGGACACCTTTCTCCATCTTTAAAAGCTAAAGCCTGGAGGTTATGAACAGAGAATCTATAGAATCTCCTGTTGTTTGCTTAAGTACTTGTCTTAAGAATACAGAGCTAGGACAGGGATAGTTTAAATTAGCTTACTCGAGCAGCTTTGGCAATTAAAAAGGCGAGAGGTCACATGTGTGTCTTGTGTTGTGTGTTGCTGTATCATTAATTTTTAGAAAGTGGGTGTGATTTTAGTTATTAAAAACTTAATTTAAAATGACGTAGTGTGGGCGGGTATGCACGTGACTTTACAGTAGGTGTGGCTTATTACATCTTTGCATACTTGTTCATCTCTCCTCCATTCGAGCCTCCATTTTTGCTGAGATTCTTCTCCTAGAAAGGTAAGAGGAAGTCTGTTGTCTTTAAATTTCATGTCACTCTTCCTATTAGCCTAGTTGTCTTAGGTCAGGAGGCAGAAAATGGCTGTGAACTTAAAAGACATCAAGTCACACATGAAAGGGGTTAGTGAGGCCATCAAAATAACTTCTTATGTGTGGTATATTTTATGTTACACAGTATCCGTTAATGGATCCTGCTGCTAGGGATGTACAAGCATCTCTGCAGCATTACAAAGATCTTAAAATAGGAAGTGAAAATTATAGTATGTTCATAGTATAATCATATAATGTATACACACGTCATGGTGTGTGTATTTTCTCTTTCAGTTCACCATGATGGACGTAAGGAGTTGTTATTCAGATTAAAAGGGACCATTCCTGTTTCTTTTAGAGGTACTTAATGAGAGAATACTGGTCTAACTTTTTCTCTCTGTCTCACTCTTTTTCTCTTCCTCCTCACTCTGTCCCTATTACCCCTCTCTGTTCCTCAAGGCAGTACTTATAATATTCCTATTATTATTTGGGTTCAAAGGACACACCCAAAAATCAATCCAATAGTTTTTGTCACGCCCACTCCAGAGATGAGTATTAATCCGTCTCGTTTTGTTGATCACAGTGGGCGTGTTTACCTACCATATATATCTGAATGGAAGCAGGTTTGTATTTAAGAACACATCACACAATAGTTACTGAATAGTTTAGTTGTATTGCTTGTTGGGTAAACTCTGTCAGTTATATTAGTTATGTAATAAATATAGCCTTTTGGAAGAACCTCAATTGCCACCAGAAATCAGCCTAAAGTCATGTTGCCCCTCGTGGCGTTTATTTGCATCCAGCTTTTATTTAAGGAAATACGTAATGTCAGTATTGCATTCCTTGAAGTCATGGACCGACTTGCTGCATTGCCATACATGTACAATATGTGCACTGTACATGTACATGTATGTCTATTTACAGATGTACATGTCGTATGAGTATCATGATCTCTCTATAAAAAATAATGTCTATGATGTCTGTGTCTCTCTCTCTTTTGACAGGGTAAAAGCGATTTAACTGCATTACTTCAAATATTATGTGTCACGTTTGCTGAAAATATTCCAGTCTACAGTCGTCAACAGGCTGCTGCTGGCTACAATCCACCCGGCTCTTACCGCCCACCATCAGCAGGGGGTGGAGCTTACAGACCACCACACCCACCACAACCTCAACCAGGATATAATCCCTATCCTCAAGCACAGCACCCACCCTATCCACAACCAGGTGGTCAGCCAGGGTATCCAGGACCAACCCCTTACCCTGTACAGGCCTCAATGCCAACCCCTGGTGGATACCAACCGCAACCAGCTCCTTATCCAACCGGAGGATATAATCAACCTCCTTATCCCTCACCACAGGGTCACCCTGGAGGAGGGTATCCTCCCGGCCCAAGTGGGTACATCCCTCCTTATCCTCAGGTATGGATATGGCTCTAGTGAATTTAATATGTGAACGTGTAATTGGATTATGATGAATAAATATTGTATGTCATTATTGATTAAAGTGTATTAGTAGTTAGTACAGTGTATGTGTCCTTGGTGTGAGTTCAGGCAACTATTCATAATTAAGTCAAATATTCATTGAAAATTGTGTTAATTAATCTAACATTCAGAGGTAACATTCAGAGGTTGTTAGCCTATGACAACTTATAGGAATGATCTATAATAATTATATTAATATTAACATATAATGTATTTATTTATTTTTTGTTTTCTATTAGCCTGGTGGTGTTGTTAATGCTCAGCCTCAGATGTCAGCGGAGGAGGAGAGGAGAAAGAAAGAGGAAGAAGAAAGAGAGAGAGCCAAAGAGAATAGGATCAGTCTGGAGAGTGCTGTTGAGGACAAGATAAAGAGACAACTCCAGAATATCATGGAACGTGCTGAGGTAACGTCAGGTGATGGTCACATGACTTTTAGATGATTAATAGGACGAGATGAAGGCATTGAATGACACACAGAAAAAATTGAAAGATAATAATGAGAAACTGACTAAAATGTTAAGGGAAATGGAGACAAAACAAGTGAGAAAGAGATTGTAGTTGAAATTCTTTCACCTTCTATCTATAGAATGAGGTTAATTCTAGTATCGATACACTAAGACAGAAAACTGCTGAGGTTGATAGCATAATAGAATATCTTGAAAGTCAACCAGACGAATTTAATATTGACGAAGCTGTAGTTGCTACAAACCCAGTCCACAATCAGTAAGAGATTGATAATTACTAGTTATGATTGTCACTTATCAATAAATTTCCTTCTAATGTAGAATATTGAGACTGTATGCCGAAGAGAATGCTATTGATGATACTATCTATTACTTAGGAGAAGCTTTAAGGAGAGGAGTCATCACTTCAGAAGCATTCTTAAAGGTACAATTTATAGCCTATAACGCAAGGCATATCTCAATCATAATGCTAGTACACTTTATATTTATAATATCTCTCCTTTAGCATGTTAGAGATTTATCCAGAAGACAGTTTATGGCCAGGGCTACAATTATAAAGGCCAGAGAAGCTTCAAAACTCCCACCACATGGGATACCAGGATGAACTAGTCTAATACAATAATATACCATCATATCATAATGAGAGAATGTTTTACTAATAATTTATTATATGCATATAGTTACTATTGTCATTGTATTATACATTATGATGTTTGTGACTTAATTTTCAGTACATAATTGTTTTTAGTTGTGCTTTCAGAAACTATTGCATGTATTTTTGAATAATTATTTGTTGTTATTATTATCATCATTATTATTATTACTTTTGTTCTCTGTTTCTGCACCTGTATTGATCTATTCAAATTATTATTGAAAGATTATTTATGATACCAAGAGTGGATAATTATTTATGATACTTATTATACCAAACAACTTGTTTTTGGCACCTTGTTCACACCTTGAGGTGTGAAGTTGCACAATTGCTAATAAAATTTGGGCTTCATTTGCATTTTCCAGCAGCACAATGTCTAAGCAAGACTACCCATATAGGTGTATCTACACTCTACAGCACATACAGAGCTCCTCAGTGAAGACACTACAAACAAAGGCAATAGCTCTAATTAATATGTAACGCATCAAGAGGAGGTAATGTACTTTTGGTAAATGTAAAAATGAATCTATAGTACAGTAGATCTAATTGACTCTTATTTTTAAAATATAGATTTTGACTAAATAAATTATTTTGATTCATTAATGAAAATAAAATCTTTTTGTAGTGAATAGCTCGATTGTTAGTTCTAAAAATCGTTATCACAAAATTGCAATTATGATAGCATAGTGTACTATCTATTTGTGCTAGACTATGATAATTAACAGAGCCAGACCATGCAAACATTTGTAACGAGTCTCTTAATGTGTCTAGTGCCTAATATTCATTTGAAGAGTGTTCAGGCTATATAAGAAGGTGCTTTTCAATGCAGCGAGCAAGGAAGGGAAATCACGATGAAAACTCTTTTATTCTTTTTTATGACTCTCAGTGTTCACGTTCTGGCTATGCCAGGTATGTCAGTAGCTGTATGTGTTAATGTATGTTCATTGTATGTCATATCTATATAGGGACAAGGTCTTACCACCATGATCATTACAGGTAAAACTATAATGTATATAATAAAGCAAAAGCTATTGATATGTCTTTTAGAAACAGAAATGAAGTTATGAACACAATCAAAGTAATGTCACCACCACAAGGCACAGCACTCGTCTCTGATAATTATAAAAGTACATACTTTCTATTTATGTTGAATTAAGACTCTGTCCTAACGTATTTTTCTTTTTAAAGGTATTCTGGATAACATTAAAGTTGAAGTTAATGGAACTGAAATTTGTGTCTACTACTTACTAGTCAAGCTTGGCTGTGTTGATAGTAATTAAGGCTCTTGCAAGTGTATATATTGCATATTGTAAATTAATTTTTTTCTAGTTCACAAAGCATGTGGAATAAAGGTTGGTCCAGTAACTATTGGTTGTGCTGATGATGAGGAGAACTATCTTGGATTATGCTATAAGAAGTGCTCTCTTCTTGCTAGTGCAGATTTTCCATTACGCACAGCAACAAACACATGCGCAAAGGATGGATGTGATGAAGATGAAGAAAATGATGCTGGTCTGTGCTATCCAAAATGCAAAGAAAACTACATGGGAGTTGCTACAGTTTGCTGGGGATACTGTAGCTATTTCTGTGGGCCCGAGTATGATGACATGGGCCTATACTGCTACCAGTGGTGGCCACCAAAGAGCTGTTACAAGCCAAGGTATGATAGAGGTGCTGGTACCTTACCTTACAAACCCTGGACTAATGGAATGGGATGCAATGGGTTTGGTGTGAATAATCAAGGAGGATGTGCTAAGATTGATATCTCTGGTAAAGTTCCCATTGATCTTGGATGCAACAAGCAATGAACTGGTCTAATGTAATAAGTGCATGCATGAAGAAGCAATATAGGACTTTTTATTAATTAAATATTTTTGTTAGGACTATTTTTTGATGCTTCTCTTTTCATGCAACTCTTTTCTAAACAATAATTACTGAAACCTCATGAATCAATAATAGTGCAGTCTTTATGCCTAGCTGCAAGAGTACCTAATATTATGTACTCTTGGTAGCAGCAAGCAGAAACTTCAGCTTTCACTTCCAATGTTTAAAACAATTGCACCAGGGGCTCTGATTGTTCCAATTATCTTGCTATACAAACACGCTAACATTACTTACGTAATCAAGTGATTAAAATATAATGTAAGTTATTAGCATTAACAACAAAATATTTACAACTAAGAAGTAGTCGAAAATGAAACTAAAATTAAGAAGTAGTAGAAGTGAGGAAGTGAGTGTTTGTGAATTATAGTTTAAGGACTGGTCTGGCTGCTGCCCTCAGTTTGAGTAGTTTCCTTATTCGTCTCACAAGCGCTTCAATGAAACTAATCATTGATAGCTCTTCATTCAGTGACATATAGTCCTAAGAAAGAGAAATGAAGGATGGATTTCTAGTATCTAATCTTGGTATTGGCTTGCCTCATTCACATCAAGGAGTTTCTTAAAGAATGAATCGTTTAATGAGCTAACAGCATTTAACTTCAACTAGAGGACAGAAACAAAAAAATTAATATCATGCTTTTAAGGAATAGAACAAAAGGAAATTAT